GGTGAGACACTGGAACCTGGAAGAGGTTGCCCAGACAGGTGATGGACGCCCTGTCTTTGGAGGCATTCAGAGTCAGGCTGGACCAGGCTCTGAGCAAATTATCTAGCCGTAGATGTCCCTTTTTTTTTTTTTTATTGTGGGGGAGTTGGGCTGGGTGGCCTTTATGGATCCTTTCCAACTCAAAAGATTCTGTGATTCCGTGCTAACCATATTAACAGGGATTAGGAGCCAGGAGTTCTGGTTCCAGAAAGGGAAATAAAATGGCAGATATGTTGGATCAATAAATGTTAACCATATTTCATAGTATAGGAATACTTATATTGCTGTAAATATGTATATTGCTGTAAAGACAGTGTCATAATTTGTTACATACTTTTCAGATTAAATTGAGTGAAGTTATTGGAACAGGGAAAGATAACAGAATCCTGAAGGAAGACATTCTCAATTTTTTGGCCAAACAAACAGGAGCTATCCTACCTCCATCTCCAAAGGCGTTGTCAAAATCAGAGACAGCACCAACTGCTCCAAAGGACAGAGCGCGCAAAATTCCAACACCTGTTTCCAGACCCATTGTGTTTTCAGGAAAAGATAAAACCGAACCTATAACAGGTAAATCATCAAGTACAAAAATCTTGAGAAATTGTTTGCAGTGAACTGCTGGTGAATGTAAGTCAATGAACGTTTGTCTCCATTTGATGGGAGTGTTTCAATTTATTATTTTAAGCAAGAAATAGGAAAACATGCTCTCTGCAAGAAGATGTTGCATAAAGTTATTATTTTCTGGTATAATTGTTCCTATTTTGGGCGGATGAAGTTTGGATGCAAGTTGTGCTTGCTCATTTTTAACCCATGTTTCCTCGGATTTATTCTGAAACAGGTTGGAATTTAGAAACACTTGTGAATTTGTTACAGTTTGAGTCACCATGTAATTAGTTGTAAAGTTATTTCTTTCAGAGAAACAATAAAAGACACAGAGATAAGAAAAAATCTCATTGAAAGAGGAAAATGATAGATTTTAATTTTCAAATAATTGGAATTTCACTCTCAGTTCCAAGAAGTTAATTTTGCTCACGTAAGAAGTCAGTGAATATTTTCCAGGTTTTCACAAGGCAATGGTAAAGACTATGAGTGCTGCCTTAAAGATCCCTCACTTTGGTTACTGTGATGAGATTGACTTGACTCACCTTGTTCAGTTGCGAGAAGAGCTCAAACCTTTAGCACAAAGTCGTGGAATTAAGCTTTCCTTTATGCCTTTCTTCATAAAGGTAAGAAATGCAGCAGAACACCATGTGGAGTACTAATGCAGACTTTACCAAAATCTTATGGTAGATCTTTGTTTTAAGTTTGGAGCACACAGATCACAAGAAAAACATCAGCTTTTCTTGTTTAATGCATCGTTTATCAATTTACCGTTGGGACTGTAGTTAGGTTAGATAATATGGGAATGGAGAAAAAAGAGCAGATACAGCATGATGCAGTAAGTGAGTAAACATCACTGAGTGTGTAATTTAAACAAAACATATTTTAGAAACAATTGGTAGTTTTGATGACCTTCATTAAAATCAGTCTCACTTAAAATGCCATGTAAGTGTTGTTGCTGGTAGTGAATCCCTCAGATGAATGAATATGTTTATGTTGTTCAGGTGAATTGAACATATGCCTTCTCTGGTTCAAACATGTACTCATGTAGTTGTCATGGTTTCATTTCCAGTTGCTGTCATCACTGGAGGCTGAATGCATAGCTTAATCTAAAATTTCTGATAATGCTATTTCAACTGGAGTGTCAAGTACTTATTTTGCTCACTCTTTTTAGGGGGAATTACTGTTCCCTGCAATAGCCACCTAATGGGAGAGTTTAGAATGAAATTGCTGTGGAATATCCTAACTTTTTTCTTGGGTTATTGAATTCTAATTGTGGAACAGGAAATAACTTGAGAAATTGATTATTACTTTTTGTATGTCTGCCTGACATATGTTTGTTTTTTTATAAGTTTTTCCTTCTGTTACTGTGATCATAACAGAATATCAACATGCATAGGAGCATGTAGGAGAGTTGAAGCCACATTTGATTGCATCAAGGAAATCTAGATTATTAGCCTCATTTGTCTCCCAGTGTTCCTTATCCATGCACTTCTCTGAGTTGTTAAGTATAAGAATATATCTTTTTGTTTATGTTTAACAGGCAACTTCTCTAGGATTACTGCAGTATCCCATTCTTAATGCTTCTTTGGATGAAAGCTGTCAGAATGTCACTTACAAGGTTTGTAAACTTTTTGATAGAAGTTGTGAGCAGAAAACCCAAAATAACATTTGATGAGGGCTTTTCAGAATGTCTGAGGCAATGAATATAGAAACTGTGACAGTGTGCTGGAAAGGAACTTAAGTATCCAGATTCTGTCTCAGATTAGATTTCATTCAATATAGATTTTATTTCAGTGGTTTATTTAATTAAAGTCATTTTTTCACTTCAGCCTGCTCTCAAAAATGCGTATTACTACAGTGATTTCCTCTTTTCCCCCTGAAGATAGACCAAACAATTGTAATGATAATATCTAAAATCCAAAGACAGTAATTTTTAGTAATGGCACAGTGACTCTGCTGTTTGGACTCTCAGCTATTATGTACTTAAGTCATATTTTAAGCTCAGTTTTGATAAAACTCATTTAATTTTTGTACAAGGTGCTGGCCAAATACTTCTATAAAGAAGTCTATTTTCTTAAGTGATGTGTATATATGTGTGTGTGTATATATTTACATATAGTTAGTAAAACTTCCTTTTGTGCTGTTTTATCAGACTCACTCAGATGAATCCTTACATGCTCCTTCTAGCAAGTATGCATGTTGTGTTGACTGCTTCTGTTAATGTCTGGTTAATGAAACTTATTGTAGGCTTCACACAACATTGGAGTTGCTATGGACACAGAACAAGGTTTAATTGTCCCAAATGTGAAAAATGTTCAAGTCAGTAGTATCTTTGAGATTGCTTCTGAATTAAATCGCCTACAAGCCTTGGGCTCTGCCGGCCAACTGGGAACAAATGACCTCACTGGGGGAACATTCACCCTTTCAAATATTGGCACAGTAAGTATAAGAAAAATGAGAACTTGCATCTGAAAACTGCATTTGAAGTGAACATCTTAATAAAAGTTTGATATGCAGAGAACAAAATGAGCAGTAATTCCTGCAAGAAGCTTTTCAAATAAGTGATACAATTATTTGTTAACTAGTATCCCTGGCATTTTCTTTTTTAGATTGGTGGTACTTACGCCAAGGCAGTGATTCTACCTCCTGAAGTCGCTATTGGAGCACTTGGAAAGATACAGGTATACTGACTATCTCAGTAATATCACACAGAATCACAGAATCACAAGGTTGGAAACAACCTGCAAGATCATCTAGTCCAACCACCCTCCCATTCCTATCAGTACCACAATATGTTTAACTCTCAGGAACTAAGGTTGTTTTCAGTGAAAATGTTCTTACGTGTTTCCTTGTTTTTAATTTAAACTTGACTTCTTTCTGTTAAATAAGTGCCTAGCTTGTGATTAAAAAACGTTGTGGTATTTTTAGATGGCTAAGCAGAGACACTGAAGTCTTTTATGCCAAAGTTTCAGCTTTTTCTCTAGAATTCTCTAATATTCACTCAGGTCTGTATTTAATCTTCTAGTTATTAGGAAACAACATAAACATTTTTTTGAAGTTTTTGCAACGTGGCAATAGCAGTCTTACTATGATTAAGGAGAAAACTTGAGACTTAAAGTATTTTGATAGTATTTAGCTTTATGAGCCAGATGGCTCAATCTACACAGAACTCTGTGGTCATGGCAGTTTCTTATTTTCTGAACTTTGGTATTTAACTATTTAATTTAGTATTTAAAAACTATTAAACATTTGAGATCAATGCTGGAAATGACATTAATATCAATTAAAAATACTTTTCACGTGTTCTTCCTATGAGCCTCATTTCAGGAATGCTTTAGGAAAACTGTCATTTTGAACAGTAAAAGTGCTTCTGGGTCAGTGAAAGTTTTCACTACTTCTCTATATCCAGGATGGTGGAAAGTGGATATCACTGTTTATTATGTTGGTTCACAGAAACAGCATGGGAAGATCTTTCATTTCTGAATGACACTACTGCTGTCTGTCTGACTTAGCAAAATATTTGAATTTAGATTAACAATAAAAATGCGGTTTTCTTAAAGAAAATATGTAATATTTCTATTTTTATCTTACTCCTTTCACTGGTTTTTAGGTTCTTCCTCGATTTAATGGGAAAGGTGAAGTATTTAAAGCACAGATAATGAATGTGAGCTGGTCAGCTGATCACCGTATTATTGATGGAGCTACAATGGCCCGTTTTTCTAACCTCTGGAAATCTTATTTGGAGAACCCTGCTTCGATGCTGCTAGACCTTAAATAAAGGAAATCATGGCTAGAATATGCCTTTAAACTGTGTTAGACTGAATAACTACAAAAGCTGGCTTTGCTAGCACATGCCCTTTGCTACTCATATTATATAATAACTTTCTGTGGTTAAAAGTTCTCAACAGCTGATATCAGTCTATCAATTAATTGTTACTTCTTTTAATTAGTAGTGCTGTATTTTCTTCTACAGCAGGCTGTCAATAGGTCATGGCACAACTTCTGAATATGGTGATGGATTGTCTTTATTTTGCCTTCTGTAATACATATGATTGTAAGACTGGTGTAAATGAATCACTGATCTACATCTGTCATATTTTTAAACAGGTTAACTCATTTTGAAGGTGAAAACGCACAGTTCTTCTTTGTTGGAAACAAATTTATCTTAACAGATAATATCTAAATTTCCAAAAGAAGTTATGCAAAATTAAATGCAAATAAAATGCCAATTATGCTTCTGCTGTAAGATGTCCAGAGAGCTTTTTGTTGTTTAACAGAGTTAAACTCTCAGGTTTAACTACTAGTCCACTTTTTCCTGGTATTAATTGCACAGGTACTTTATCAAATGATAAAGGGAGAGGGCATATTTATTCAAACATTGCTAATAACATTTACTGATAAATATCAGGGCCTTGAAACTCTCTAGGATATACCGTATTTTTATAGTCTGCAAGTAGTTACAGTCCTTAAATTCCACTGTTTTTGTTCCTTAAAGAAAACATCTATTTGTAGAAAAGGAGGATCTCATTAGTTATTGTGACATTAAATAAGTCTGACAGCAAAGAAAATGTACTCTAGAACTTTGCACCATTGTACATTATTGATGTTCATTTACCAGAACTTGACAGGTTAATCTGATACAACTAAGAATTAGTATTTAATAAAAATATTATGAGGAATAGCTGATACAAGGCAAAGAATGAAGAGGTTCAAGTTAATGTCTTCAGAACAGATTATAATAGTGCTGCTTTAAGGTAAACTTAAGAGATGATGAGGACTGTAGTGGTTATTTGGTAGGAATTAGAAAATGGTTGGATATAAATGCCTTCTGAAAACATGAACTTGAAACACGCACAAGAAAAAGCAGTTGTATGACCTTAAAAATGAATTTGCAAATTTGACGTTTTCTCCTTTCTTTAGAAATATCAAAAACTGTCTTTACAGGAATATTCACCAGTGTTGTAGACCAAAGTAGCCTGATGTGTTTAGCTGTGAAGATGCAAGACGTAAGCTACCGGGGTAGAATCTCTGCTTCCTTGATGCTGAGACTGAGCGAGAGGAAAGGTGGTAATGTAGGTGGGGAGTATACATGTAAGGTGCTATTTGTAATCCTTTAGTGGTATAAGGTGCCTTTATGAAGTCACTTACTGAAGACTTTGACTAATATGTTGTGCATATCACCTATTTCATTTTTATCAGATTTATTTATTCCCAATAAATTTTCTCAAAGGCACAAATAATTGTAGTAATACTGTTTTTATATGTGAATTTATTTCATGCAGGTGATCCTGTACAGGTGGATACATCTTATTTTAAAGAACGTACTGCACTTGAGACTGCTAAAAGGGCACAGCCTAATAGCTACTCTCCTACAAGTCTGTTACTGTGGTAAGGGCTTAGTCTGAATTGCATTTTGTTTTAGTCTTATGGCCATATAAAAAATAAGTTGAGGAAACAAAAGCATATGATAGAAAGTGGTAAAGATCTTGAAATATTTTAGAGAAGAATTTTACTCACAAAAGAAGCTTCAAATTTCTTTAACACTCAAAGACCTGGTAAAAGGAAAGGTAAAATTCATTTTGGCTTAACTCTAATTATTTGTCTCTTTCAAGAGGGCAGAGCTTATATTTATATTTCAAAAATTAATTAATTAAAAATACTGGGGGTATTGAACCTGTACCAAAAATGAAAGAAGCAATACCTATACCAAAGAGGTCATTTTTACTTTTGCATAACTTTCTCCTTTGCTTCTAACACATCCCCCCTCAAACACAAAAAATGTGCCCTTGAAGATTAAAAATTATAGCAGTTACTATCTTTTAAGATAGGAATTGGTGTTCATGTTTTAGTTTTTATGTTTTCATTGTTACTGTTGTGGTTTACTTTCCATTATGAAGTTTTGTGTGGTAATGATAGAATTTAAATCAAGCTGATAATGACTAAGAATGTTTTCTACTGTGACCAAATGAGTGCTATTTTTTAAGTTTTGTCTTCATATTTTATATCCTTACAGTGCAGTCCAGGTTGTAACAAGTCAGTTTTATGACTTCTGTTTCAACCAGTATCTTTATGATAATTGCTGCCTCTCTCTTTCTGTCTGAGTGAAGAAAAAGGTATTAAACATGAAAAATAATAACAAAGTTAAAATAGTCTAAATAGTCTGTCATGTAACTTCTAATACTTGTTTACTGTGACAGTTGTTCGCCTTTTATCTTCTCCAATGTCTCTTTGAAGAAATAGAATGTTAAAAATGTTTTATGATTGGAAGCATGTAAAAGGGAGTGGTGAGCAATAACCCCTCTGCATACCATGATAAAAATTACTCTTCTGCTTGGTCTTTGACAATTTACATAGGAATTCTTCATCATGAGCAAAAGTAATGAATAAAATACTTAATTATGTAACACTTGTTCTAGTTTAATTAATCACTGTTACTGATTAATAGCAGTTGTGCAGTACTAAGTATTTTTTGAAGCTCAGTTATCTTGCAGATAAACGCTGAAAGAATAAAAAAAAATGCCCAAAGTAACTTACTTGTAGTTTTCATTATGAAGTATAATGAATTTGTTTTTATTCACTGCTATTAACTTTTATTGATCTTATAAGCAGTTTATGGGAGTCCAGTCATGTTCTGCAAACTAGGAAGACATTAAGAATGGTAAATGCCGGGGGTGTTGCAGAAGTGCCTCATGTGATACCTTCTATTCTCAGCATAGGCTAAAATTAGAACTAGAGTGACATTGCACTGGAGTCTGAGTGAGAGTTCCAAATGGTTTTGATAGTACAAGCAAAATTTGTACCTTACCTAGGCTCTTGCACAGAAAGCAATGAGTCATGGAAAATCTTTGAAAACCAAATATTTGAGGTAAGTTGTTCCAAACTCTCTCACGTGCTTGGAGGTGATTTTGGGGGGAATTATGTGGTAGTAATTTGAGTAATTTGTGTTTATTTTACAGCCACCTTTGGGAATTCACTTCTTAATTATCAGTGGCAATGTGATTGTTATGTTCTTATTGTTTGTCAAGAAAATATCAAGAAGACTTGGCAGTAACCCTGATATTGTATAATTAAATATCCTTGAAGGTAGAATCATATACTTAGGACCTTCCGTACTTCATGGTTCTAAAGCAGTGTTTTATAATTCAATTATATGCTGTCCACTTTTCGCTGAGTGTAAGCTTTCACTAAGAATAAGTACTGATTGTATGGTCTGAGATTGGCTTTAGCAGTGCATGTATGAATGAATTTGTAGAGATTGGAACCTTAATGTATCTTTTCTGTATAACATACTCAAAAGATTTGTAGTTTTCTATCTGAAAATGTCTGAACAACAGGTATGATTGATCAGGTAAATCACTTTTTCTTGATAGAAGACTAATTCTGAAAATAAGGCATTTTAAATTGCAGCTGCTAATTGGAGCAAAAAGGCTCCAATATGGTGTTTTAGTCACTAGTGTTGCATGTTGGGATGAGGAATGGAAAGGTATTTACTAGGAGTACCACTGAAAAAGAAGTTAGTCTTTCAAAGTACAGCAATTAATTGTAATCATATTGATGCAGGGAAGGGAAAGACGAAAAAATCTTCTAGTTACAGAGAAGAAAGGATTGAATCCCTAAAAAGGGATTGAATTCCCGATTGAGTGCCAGACAGCATTGTGCCACATTGTGGGATGCCTTTTGTATCACCTGTCAAATCCTACCATTCTTCCTTAACAAGTAAAGAATGGTTATGAATTCTTAGTATAGAAGTATTGGACCAGATTCTCTCTCCCTCTCTCTCTCTCTTTTTTTTTTTTTTTTTTTTCCTTTGGGAGGGGTGGGGGGGATCAAGCCTTGTAAGATGGTTTCATGCTGTCTTTAGAACAGGAATCAATCTTGACAATTTAAAATTAGTGTTTGCTTGGCTGTACCTTTTAAATTGATTTCAATACAATCAGACTTCACAAACAACCGTGTTAGCGAAAGACATGATAAACATAAAATGGCAGTAGAATGTTTTTTTGGAGGGTGTACTTATTGGGATAACAGTTTCTTTGCTGCTCTGCAGAAAATTATGTATTAATTATCTCCCTAAGGAAAAGATGATTTCAAAATATTAGCCTGATTTGATTTGGATCTTGACACTCGGGAGGTCTACAAGATGGCGAAAGAGATATGAAGAGTATGAGAAGTCTTTTTTAAAAAGGTAATGCATTACTAACTGTACACTATACTGTGAGAGATACTATTAAGAAAAATAATACAAATAAATGCACATGCTAACATGTTTTTAGCAATATATCAATTTCTCTGAAGTGCAAAATTCCTTTCATTGCAAATATTTATACTACCCAGGATGCAACTGTAATGATTAATTACCTGGAGTTGCACAGAACACTAATTTCTTCCTGGAAGGGGAATTAATTCTTGTACCCACATTTAGTAATGATGGTTGTTCTCAGTCTACAATTGTAATGAACTGAAAGAAACAGTTGTTCTCAAGAAGAATGCAAAAGAGATTGTAAAAAGATCCTTGATACAGGTGCCTTTGGGAAAAAAAAGTTCCAAATTGTACATTCAAGTTAGTATTTAATTTGCTTCCCAAAATGAATGTTGAAATTCCTTATACTTTCTAATTATTTTTCTTTTGTCACTATTTATTTTAGTTGTGTCAACATCTTTGATAACAGTGCTATGGTTTAATGGTCTCCCATGGTAAATTCTCTAGATCATTGCATAATGATTTTGTTGAAAGCCAATTTTTGAAACTAATTTCCATTTTTACTTGTTTACATTGTATTTTATTTCGGAAAATTTAACTGGGTACAATTATTTTGTACATACAAAGCAATTGGTAATATTCTGTTAGCCCTACATTAACTATATTCAATGATATAATCAAGGAGATATGTCTGTATTTTAGTTTTCATGTCACTGCCCCCATGCGGTAGGTGATACAAGCACTAAGGCGCTGAAATTCACAGTTGGAGTCCTGTGATTGAACCTGAACATGTAAGAATCATGACTGAAACTGCTGTTTGCATTGGATCATTCACTGCTGTGAAGACACTTTGGGAAGTGAGAATACAGAAAATAAATGAAGAATTACGGAAAGAAAAGGAATTCAGAGAGAGGTCTGCAGGAAGGTAGGTAAACTGTAGATGATATGTGAAAACCTAGACTCTAAGTTACATTGCAGAAGACTGGAAGTAGTCTTTCCAAACTCATCCACAGTCTAATTCTTTAGTCTTTACTGCATAGAACTCCCACTGGTTAGAATCTGGCAGTACGTTCAGGTCAATCAATCAGATGTGTTCTGTGATAAAAATATTAGCATATATACAAAATCTAATTAATACAGATATTAAAATCCTCTTTTGTGTGCATGCTCTAATTAGCTGTAGTTTTTTTATTCTCAATGGAAGCATTAACCCTTGTTTGGTCTTCTCTTCTGAGTAGCCAGCAATTTCACAAAATGTGAAGAAATTTAGCACTTTTGGAACCATTCTTCATTTGTCAGATGTTTGAAATGGAATAACAAATTCAGAAGTCACAAATGGAAAATAAAAGCAGAAAAAGAAGTGGGTTAATTATTAAAATTCTTGTTGTGTTGAATTAAAAAAAAAAATTTCTTTGTTGAAAAAAAAGCTAAAAGAATCTCTAGCTGATTGGCCTTGTTTGAGTGAACTTCTGTTTGGTGGAACTGAGAGCTTTCTGTTCCACCACGAGATTGTTTCAAAATTTATGACTTTGGGACTGTCACTTTACGTGAGTTTACCTTCTATTTCCTGGCTGCAGTGTGATGAAACTGAATAAAGTTTTATTTTCCTTTTGACTGTAAAACTAACCTATGCAGAACTGCAGATGAATAGAGTAACTATAACTCAGTCAAACATTACTTCATGTTCTTATCTTCCCTCAATTGATAATATAATTAACATTCAGAAACAATATTTTTACTCATTCGAAGTACCTGCCTCTTTGTTTTTCCAGTAATACAATGGTTGGTAATTATTGCCTTTATTTACAGCTGCACCACTAATAAATTTTCTTCCCTTTGTAGGTTACTGCTTGTCTGGGAGGAGAGAACCACTTTAGCAAAACTCAAAGAGAAAGTAGTTAATGAAGATGGAAGAGCAGTTTTAAGGATAGAGGAAGAAGAATGGAAGGTATTGTGTATAGGTATTAATATTGCTGAATGAAGACTGAATGACTTGATGCATTTGAAGACTACTATTTACATCTTTACGCTCGTGGTTTGACTCTTTCTAATCATGACTACTTCTAATCATGAAATGCTCATGTTTTGCTTTGCCAACCATGAATTGAGGTACACTGTTGTGAGAATGTAAAAGCAAGCTGATTTTTTTTAGTTTCAAGTATTAAGCATTCCTCTGCAAAAATAAAGCCCAAAAGGCTTTCTTGCATTAGAAGTGATTTTACATTGCAAAATGTGAGTTTAATTAGGTACATCTTCGTTTTGTTAATGCACCCAAAGCACTGAAATATCTCATGATGAAAAACCTCTGTGCTTAGGTGCACAGATAGAATTTTTTTTTTTTTTTTTTTTTTTTTTTATTGTTACTTACTTTCTGAGTGACAACGAGTGAGTTTGATTCTCAGATTCTTATTTCTAATGTGTGTAGGGACTTGGCTAACTGTAGAATCAACAACAGAATGGGATCTAGCAGTGAGGACAAGTTACAGAGCTGGTAGTTTTATCAGTGCAGAAATGCAGGTGCCAGTTCAATGAAGAGAATTAGACTATGTTGAGGTCAGTAAGAGTTACAGCCCTGCCAGCAATACTCTGGTGTTCAGTATAGGAAAGCTCTGGTTTTTGTTTGGAATTCGTAACTTGCAAAGAGTGGAGTGTTTCTATCCTTCTGCTCTTAACAGAACAGGAAATGTTATTTATATAATCATTTAAAGGCAACAATCCATTTAGAGCAGCTTCATCCTCAGTTATAAAGCCTGAAACTTTTCAAACAAATGGCAGTAGTTCAGATCTAAATCCTGAAAGAGAACAGTCTGCAGATGAAACTGGTGGTTAGAATGACCCATACTGATAGAGTTCTTCTTTGGATGTTACTGTGGAGTTTGAGAAGAAGGAAATATTTTTTATTATTATTATTTTTAAATCGCAATACAAAATATTAATGAGAAAAGAAAAATCTTACCACCACTTTCTGACTAAACCCATATTCTTATTTATTAAGCTGAATTTTTTTTGGATTTATATTTCTTGTCTTAGACATTACCTTCCTGCTTATTGAAATTAGTCCATCTCCAAGAATGGCAGCTTCATAGAACTAGCTTGCAGAAAATTCCTCAGTTTGTTGGAAGATTTCACAATCTTGTTGTTCTCGATCTATCCCGGAATTCAATAGAAAGCATACCTAAAGAAATTGGTGAGCTGTACTTTATTTTGTTTTATATTGCTTTTCTAAGAAAATTAACGTTATACAAGCATGCAATTTCTTGGCATTTTAACTTCCTAAGTGTACAGCTATGTAGTTAGAAAACATTACTTATATTTGGCAGTTAGGTAGAGATCTTAAGGCCACCAATTCCCTATAAACTTTTTTTTTTTTTAAAAAAAGTTCAAGTTCTGAGTTCATGGCGTGAGTTGTTCTTTTCATAAGTTTTTGGATTTTTTGAAGTACTCATCTAGAATTCTGTACTAGAGTCCTGAAATCCTTTCATTTAAATTTTTATTTATTTATGTACTATGAGAACACAGAACTCTTCTATAGCATTATTAGGATAACAGAAAAACATTAATGCTCTATTTCAAATACAATGAATATTCACGTTCATTCTTTCTCATTTGTGCTCTCTGCAGGCCAGCTGACTGGCCTCCAAGAGCTGCTTCTCAGTTACAATAGAATAAAGTCTGTTCCTAAGGAAATAAGTAATTGCATCAGTCTGGAAAGATTGGAACTGGCTGTCAACAGGAATATCAGTGATCTTCCTCTGCAGGTTTTGACTATTCTGATTTATTTATTTACTTATTTATTTTGTGATGTATATTTTGAATTTACTCTCTGTTCTTATATTTGCTTTAGTATTCTGATGTTATAACTGTTCCATATAAATGCACACATAAACAGTATTCATACCACTAATCCAACTGAAGACACATGACAATCCAACTACCTGAGTAGTTGCAAGAGCTAATCTTTGTCTAGATAAATGAGCATACAGGACAGCAATACACTTGATGTTAGTTTAGGCTGAAGATCTTCACTGATTGATTCACCCCACTGTGGATCTGATACCTTAGCACAGATGAGTTCACCTTTAAGGCTGAGAATGCAAGTTGGTGCCATTTGCCACCATATAATTGAAAGCATCTTTACCTGGACTTCTAGCTATGAAAAGGTTTTGTGTGATTTAGACAACTGCCAATGTGCAAAAAGTTGAACTAATTTTGTTCTGAGAAGATGCTGAAAGCAATTAAATGAGAATAAAGCAATTGCTTATATACTGTTGAGATTTAATTTGGTCTAAAGTATATGTGAAAGAGACCTCCATCTCCAACTATTAGACCTCCTAGGTACAGAAATGTCAAGTACGTAACCATTTTTGCTTCTTCTAGTGTATAAAAAACCACAGTAATGGAGTATTGCAAAATTAAGTCCAAGCCACAATACCCAACAAATCTTCAAATAAAAACATACATGATTAATCAAAATGCAGAATTTACTAAATCTACATGGATACAAGTGTGAGATTTAATATAGAGCAACAGCTCTTAAAGTAACAGCTCATAGTAAGCAATAGTAAGTACATAATTATTTCCTGTTGAGTTCATCATGTTGCAAACACCTGAGATATTTAGTGTAAATTTAGCTTGGTTCTATGTACGTGCAAGTACTTCATTTGGGCCAGATTTGCCATCAAACATCTTTTCATTGCCTGAAAATTAGAAAAAACATTTGAATACATGATTCACCAAAGGACTGAGGTGTTGCAGCACTCACTGAGGCTGGGTTTAATTTTTAATGCCTTGCAGTACTAATGGACTTCACAACACTGAAAGTGTCTTAAGTTCCCTCCAAAATACCATCCATGCTATATGAACCACAAAAAACTAAATATTTGCTTAATGAAATAGAGCAACTTGCATGGAGAAGCACCAGCTGAGCATAAAATACTAAAGACAGTGATCGTAGAACATAATCACAAGCATTTATGTTGGAAAAGACCTTTAAGATCATTTAGTCCAACCTTTAACGTAGCCACTGCCAAGTCAACCACTAAAACGTGTCCCTAAGTACCACATCTACACATCTTTTAAATAGCTCCAGGTGATGTCTTTAAAAATCCTTTCCTTTATATTTGGGATGTATCTGCATTGTAGTCATGACATTCAGTGTCTCAGCATTTAGGGCGCTCACCCTAAATGAGACAAAGGTGATAAAGTGTAACCACCTGAACAGCTTCAAACCTACATCCCCAGCCTCCAGGTGAGTGCTGTAATTGTACACTGAAATTCAGTTAATGTATCTCAGAAACCATTCTGTGTTTACAAACTCCCAAATGTGTTTTAATGTTAAATTGTTAATTTTAATGTTAAATTTTCTTTTTTTCAGTAAACATGACATGAGTGCTGTAATGGAACATCAGTACGAAGTTGTATTAAATCTCTTTCCTTTCAGCTAAGTGATTTAAAGAAGCTTTCACACATAGATTTGTGTATGAATCAGTTCACCACCATCCCTTCAGCTCTTCTGAACATGCCAAATTTAGAATGGTTAGATATGGGAGGAAATCGACTCCAGAAGCTTCCTGATGCTATTGACAGGTAAACACAGCTCAAAGCTCACATCATAGTCTGAATAATACTGCATTGAAATTCTAATGGTTAAATCCTGTTTCAAAAGCTATTTCAAAATTAACCTGATGGCAAACTGAAGATTTATTAGCTTCTGTGTGTATTTGGTAAGTTAGAATAATTAATTTCATAAATAAATAAATGGTACATGTACTGTTACCAAGTTCAATGTTTCTTGCTAATGACGTTTTCAAGTAGCAGTTTAGATAGTTATCTTGGATACGGGATTTTCGTAGAGATTTTTATTATTCTTTATGTGAGTCCTTTATGTGGCTGTTAAAAATAATCAATTTAGAAAATAAATCTTATCATTTATTCAAATTTTCTAAATCTTGACTGAGGAAATACCTACTTTTACAGAATGGAGAATCTCCATACTTTGTGGCTCCAAAGGAATGAAATTAACTCTTTGCCAGAAACCATTGTTAATATGAAAAATCTTAGTACTCTTGTTCTTAGCAACAACAAACTTAAGGATATTCCTTCTTGTATGACACACATGACAAATCTCAGGTAAGAAAAAGCAACAGAAATATAATTACCAGCAGATAAGTTTTAAAGCCTCCCTTAAGTTGTATATCACAGAGTGATGCTAAGGAAGCGGAAAAGGTGTGTTCATGGTTATACAGCATAATTAGAGATTCACAACATTTGAGAATCTGGTCAAGAAAGCTTTGAGAAGCACAATGCATTTGAAGAGTGTAAGCTATGATAGTTACACTCCCAAAGTTTAAGGAGACTAATACATTTCTGCACATCAGGGGCACGTAAGCTTGTATAAGCTTTAATTTGTGAAGAGAGGTCTGTAGGCTTTATCTGTATAGTCTCAGTTGTTCGTGGGTAATGGTAGCTATTGTGGGGTGTAATGGTTTGAGGGAGGACTCAGAGGTGACATTCTCTTAAGTAGGGAAATGTCTGTTTTATGGGGTTTATTTGGCCTCCTTCTTTCTACAGCTGTAAGAATATCATGGGCACACTGTAGTATTACCCTAAAGCAAGCATCATAAATGGTCAAGCCATGGTATACATGGAACAAACCATAGGAGTGGACTAAGAATAGACAGACATTGGGTGGACTTACCTTGCAGTGAGAACACAGCATTTGCACACTTGTTCTAATCTGTTTATCTAATCTGGATTATACTGACAACAAAGTGAAACCCATAAAATAAAATGAGAACTGCAACATTTTCTCCCACAACTATCAGCTAGTTATTATAAGAATTCTTCATTTAGTTATTTGATTCTGCTAGTGCGTTGGTGGTTTCAACTTAAGGCTCATAGCACCTGGAAAAATATCCATAAATTCTGTTTCTCTTGTTCCAAATATTGGCAGATAAATCTTAATTCAGTTTGAAAAGTTCTCTCTGGTCAAGATGTAATGCAAGCATAACCTTCTCCACTGACCTGACAGATTTGTCAACTTCAGAGACAACCCACTGGAGTTAGAGATAACACTCCCTCCATGTGAGAATACAGAAGAAGAGGAGCAACAGGAAATGTTCGGCATTGAATTCATGCACATGTATATCCAGGAGTCACTGAAGAAAACAGGTATGGTTTTTTGTTAATTCCAGTCCCCCTGGAGTGATGTGACAAAGGGAGGTTAAGCTGGGTAAAAAAAAAACTAGAGTACGTACACAAATGACACATGCAAAGCCTGGATTAGTATTTTCCAAAGTCTGCAAGCTGAATTTAAGGAGGAAGGGGAGAATTCTGTCTCTCCCTGACAAAAACCCAGTCTCCTAAGCAAAGCAGCCCCTACACTTTCATCTCACTTCTAAATTGCTATGTCAAAAAACCCTGCTGCTAGTAATGTGAAAGGAAACAGATTAAATTTCTCTGCCTGCTTAATGGCTTCAGTAAAGGATCAAAATATGCACTTCTAAACAGATGTGCAGGTGGCAGTTTTAAAGAATTCCATCCACTGAAGATATAAAAACATTTTCTTTGATCTTCCATTCTGCATGTCTTGAAGGCTTAAAAACGCTCTTCAGAACCCTAAGCTAACTTTTTTCTTATCCATGTTTTATGAATGAATATTTAAATTAACAAGAATACATCAAGACAAGTGGTTTAAAAATAAGTTTTATTCTTTAATGAATGCTCCTAGAGCTGATGAAATAAGTACCTAAGAATACTTAAATAACTTAGGAGGAAATACAAAAGTATCCTAACCATCTAATTGGAAACAAATTATGTTAATTTCTCTTATTTTAACCCACTGTCTTTCAGGACATGTGGAAAGCTGCACTTCTGATGCTTCTCCTGTCATAACTGCTAATGATGAAGGAACCTAACTGTAAGTAGAAACTATCAAAAGATGCTTCTTCCTAACAATACGGCTTGCAATTAGTTTCAAGTATTCTTAGGGATTTCATTTTTCTAGTAATGAGAACTGCTTTGCATATTTTTAATTTCCAGTCAAACTGGGAAATATAAAACCTTTTCTTGGGATAAGAAAGAGTAAAACTGGTTTTCTGTAAGCACCAAATCTGCTTTTTATACAATCCAGATAGATTTTGTAGTTTTTCTGCCAGTTCCAAATCTGCATCTTGTCACGTCGTTGTCTCTGGGACAGCTGTCAACAGGACATTCTCCAAGGACACAGAGGAATCTGTATAGTACTGTAGTGCAGCCTTGTATCCTCGATGCTGTAAATATCTGATCCGTCCGTGATCAATCACAAGTTTACAGAGGGACCCTATCTCCTTCCGCTCTTCAACAGTAAGGAGCCTACTTTCACAGAGAGGGAAAAAAAAAAGAGAACAGAATGTGTTAGGAGAATAATTTTGTTAATTAACATTAGCAGTTGAACTTAGAAAGACTACTAAAATCAGTATATTTTCACTTCAAATCAGGCACGCGTATGTAAATATTTACATTCATGAAAATTCTATTTATAAAGTAGAATGTTTCTATAGAATAAGTAATTATATTGCTTCTGTAAAATGAGTTATTTCAGAGACCCAAACCAATTTCATGTTCCAATATCCATAATTCTGATTTTTGTAAGAGTTTTTATGCTAGGAAAAAAAAAAGAAATCACATACCCTTGTAGAGCATCAGAACCAGTCCCTGTTTTACTGTATATTTGGCCAAGCTCTTCTGTGTTGGTAGTGTGATCTTCACTTTCTTCATTTGTAGAGGCTTTGGCTATGGCTCCTCTCATGCCACAAGTGGCCCAGCTACTCATCCTTTGAAAATAATGAAATTCTACTGGTCCAAGTCCTACTGATCTAAAGAACTCTCTGCCTACATAATGTGTCCAGTCACATTTGTGATGGCAACACAGCGCAATAACAATTCCAGCTACAGGCTTAAAGTCTTCTTTGTTCCTTTCATTGTCATCATCATTTGAACTGTTAGAAGCTCCTTCTGCCTTATTCTTTGTACGTTTTGGTGCAGGCTCTTCATCTTCTTCATTACAGCAAGTTGCATAACTTTCTACCAAACATCTCAAAGCAAGATCTGGGGAAAAAAAAAAAAAAAAAGAAAAAGAGAAAGATACAGAAAATAAGAGCAATGAATGTACACCTTGCCTTCACTTACATAGGCTATATGGCTGCTGGGAACATGCTTCCCTCAAAGAACGAAAGTGCATCACAAGCCAAAAAGCAACAACTTTGAGGATAGCTAAAAATAAGCAGCATACTGTGAAAGGATGAAAACTTTATATGCTAAATGAATATTATGAGTCCTGTACATTTATTAAGTTCTTATTCTCTTCAGTCTTTCTTCTACCCCAATCAAGCTGAAATATTTTGATTACCAGACTGGCATACTTATCCTTCCTTAGAAAGCATGCAAATATTGCTCTAAAAGTTTCACATCCAGGACACACTCTCTTTAATAAATATGCTTCTTAATGTCCAAATGTTTATGCTTCTTAATAATACATATACTTCTTAAATGTTTAACTGTGTCATCTTTGCAACAATACCTACATAAGCTTTATATATGAGAGGTCTTTCTCAACTTAGTTAAGCATGTAACATTAGGAAAAGTGTAATGGTTTAAAATTATCAGGACAGAAATAAAAGTTCTTATTGTTTGCTTGGGATATGCATTCAGACAGAGCCAATATACATTTAGAAAGAAAAATACGTTAGGGTAGAGATGATGGTGCAAAAAAGAACATACTCTCATCCACTGACAAATGCATGACCCATGCCCCACACTATCCTTTGGTCTACTCTGTAACAAACTAGAAAGGTTTTGCTTCTGTCTAAAGTAAAACTTGTCTACTATTACCCATTTTTCTGTTCTATTATAGTTAACAGATATTTATTACAGAATTTCTGTATTCACCAACAAGTAGTTACAGGGAGAGAAAAGCGTAACTATTTGGAAGATCATTCCCTTCGGGATGTAGGGCTTAATATCCTGTTGTCCTGTGGTTAACACATATCATGCATACCTGTGGCAGCACCACACAAATGTTTCCCAATTCCTACCACTGGTAGTTTTGTCTTCTCTAAAATAGGCACCTTACCTGAAAAATAAACAAAACGAAATACACAGTGACCTGTCTTATGTTAGTTGGGCAAATACTTGTTCTGGATAATTTTATTTCAGCACATTTGACAAATAAATGTTTACCAGTACTAAAAATGCAGTGGTTTGTACATAGAGTTATAAGCTACTGAAAAGATACTATTTTTAAATGAAAAGCAGCAGATTCTGTGTCTGAGAAGCATATGGTTAGGTTATTGTTTAACAACTCAGCCCTGGCAAAAAGCAAAGAATATATTTTAATACTGTTAGGAAGCAACAGTATTTTCTTCCCAAGCAGCAATAAGCAAGCAGCAGTAAAATGAATACCAGAGAACTCTGCAATTATCTGTGGCTGAGAGATTAGCTCCAGATAAAAGGTTATTTAAATACTTTGCCTTTTATTAAAATGCAGGATTGGAAATGCAGGATTTTGCTTAATAATTAAAATTGTTACTTTTTATATATATGCACTGTTGATGTGTCCAAGCAACCACTGAGAACCTGATACACATAAGCCTGCTACATACTAATTGACTTGATATCCAGTATTCACTTCTAAAATAAAGCCTCTATTTCAGAGGTATAAAGGTCAAGAAATAACTTACTTAAACATAAATGCTGAATATCAACTTGAAGCCTTTCAAATGTAGAATCTCTCTTTTTATGTTTTCCATCCACCTGTGTAAATAAAACAGGATAATTAAATACGGCTGTCTGCTAGTAATTACAGCTTTGCTGCAGCTCTTAGTGACCAGCTTTAGTAACTTTTGAAGTTAATTTCCAACATTAAGACAGCAAGAATTTTTTCTAATAAGTGTGCTATTGGCAAAGTATGGAACGCACACAATCACACTTGTAGAACTTGTAATGTTTTAAAGACTTCATGTTATTTTGGAAGATGCAAAGCAAATGTTAACAGCTTTGATGACAACTGTTTAAAAATTACACTCTGCTAATATGACAATATTCTCTTTTACCTTGAATCTTGTAGTTGCCCTTTCTACAAGCAAAAATTGAATATTTTCAGTATCTTGTAAGGCAATATCAACCCAGTGAGACAGCTTTCCTCGCCCAGCTCCAAACTCAACGAAACATCTTCCTGGACCAAGCAAATGTAATTTTTCCATGTTACCTAAAATAGAAGCCTACAAATATCAAAAGATTATTTATGAGCCATGCAAGTATATGATGATGCCTGATTAAAAAAAAAATCATTATTCCACCTAACTGCAGAAAACTTTTTCAAGTCCTCCTTCCTGGACAGATTTGGAAAGAGATCCTGTGCACACACAGGAAAAGAATTATAATTCTGGCTAATGAGCATTACCCTGCCACAGAACTCCACTCTATCTTAAGTCAATATAAAAATGTACAAATGAAAGCTCAGAAGAACTGCACATTCTACTTCAGTAGCCTAGTTAGTCATTACTAACACCTAGCAAAACAGCTGTTCTTTTATATATATGTGCTAGTATTTGAGAAGGTTTATATATATATGCTAGTATTTGAAAAGCACAGAATTATAAAGCATCAGATTTACTCTGTATAAAGTATCTAACACTGTGCACATGCAGCCATTAGAAAGGTTACACCTTTCTAGAGACATCCGTAGCAGTAGCCATACCTGTTGTTTCAAGTGTTTGAAAGCAGAGTCCCCGTTCTTTGGGTCATTTAAGGCTTCCTCTAAAGCCTGGTGAGAGAGTACTTGTTCTTTAAGGTCAAGTTCCAGACCTGCACACAGAGGCAGAATTTTTCAGTATAGGTTTGAAGTGTTTCTGGTTTTGCAACACGTATGTTTCAAAACTCATGTTCAAGGTATGTTGCCACTCATATTCAGATACAAGCTCAAATTATGGCAGGAACAAAATAGCCTTTTGGGAGCCTATCACTGTAACTTTGTAACAGAAATATATATTTTTTTTATCTGTAGTGGGTTTTGAGCGAAAAACAACAACAACAACAAAAAGCACAGAAGGAAGTGAAAGTAGCTATATGGACAAAAGATCAAAGCTCTATCTTTGCTTCAACCTAGGTTTATTCCGCTGAGTAAAAGGTAGATATTAGAGGATTGCCTACATCTTAATTACTTCAGGTTTGTCCAGTATCAAGTTCATCTCATCTTTTCATAAATATTTAACAGCAAAAATAGCAAGGAGATATTTATTCAAAATGTATTATTTTTAGTATTAGGTGAGCTCACCGTTACTTGCTTTTTTCAACTTGATAATTAAGTTTTCAAGCTCTTCTTTGGATAGGGAAGAGAGAGTTACCTTTAAGGAAAAAAGACAAAGGCAGGAATTTTTTTTTGCCAGTTTTTTAGTCATACCATAAATGGCAGTATGTTATGTAGGGCAAAAGCTTTAGAACAAATGAATGTACTCACTTGATTTGCTGGTATTTCTGCTACTTCTTTTACACCTGCATTAATATCTTGAACAAAGTAGACCTTTAAAAAGCAAAGAAAACCAATCTGATTCTATTTATTACTCTGAAGCAAAAACTTAATTTCTTCAGTGCTTTCATCATACTGTACACAGCAACAGGAATCCACTGCAAAAGAAGAGATTCCAAAGGAAAAAAAACCTATTTTCCTGAAGTCTAATCCTGAGTCCCCAGCAGAAGTTCCTGTTCTAGCACATTTTTACAAGATTAAACATGTTAATAAGAACTAAGCTGTTAATGCTTTCTAGGCTGGTCACAGTGACCACAGCTTTACAACTGCAGCAGTTACTATGTTGTCTTGGAACAGCTGCTGAAACATGGCATCCTATCCTATTCATTCTTTTAGCACTGCCTGCATCTGTCAGCCAAGCTTTCCATGACACTGCTAACCTGCACAAAGCTGGCAGGGCTGGGTTAGCAGAGCGCCAGAGGCAAGGAAACATCTACAGCTGCCTTTTAGTTTTGTTTTTCCAAGGCAAAATGAGAGTTGTGGCACTGCGAGAGACCACGACATTTTTTGTGAAAAAATCCATTCCACGTTTTCATTTATAACTAAGAGGATCAAAAGTTATGCCAAACTACAGCAGAAGGGGATACAGCAGACAGGGAGCAGAAGCGAATTCCATTTCAGATCAACAAGTGCTCTCCTGCCATGCTGTGCTGACCGCAGCGCCTGCAACCGCTGGGCCTTCCCTTCCCTATGGCACCGCAGGGGCTGCTGCACAAGGCTGTCATGGGCAGGGCTGCACAGCTGACGGACACTCACCGGCTTTGGCTTCTCTCTGGAATTACATTTTTTTAAATGTTTTTGTAGTTGGTCTTCATACACGGTACTGAAATCCAAAGAGAAAGGAAAAGCAAGTCACACCAGTTGTAGTGAGATCTCTGATGTTTAATATATATATATATATATATTCTGCATATACTTACTGTTTCGGATCAAGAGGGCACGGAATTCTTTTCCTGTCATTTTCTTTCTGGTTAAGAAAGTTTTAAACAACAGGTCAGCGTGCATTCAGTGCTCCTGTCGCACAGAAGCTGCTGAGGAACATCTGAGAATCGCAAACCATCTATTCAGGGGGGTCTGGAGAAACAGGGCCGGAACCGAACGCTCCAGCAGATCCCAGACCCGTAACTGACGGCAGGGCCGAGCCGGCGGTCCGTCCGTGCGGGACCCGGGTGCCCGGGCTGCCCCTCCCCTCGCCCCGGCACGCGGTACCTCCTGCCGCCCGTGCTCCCCGCAAAAGCGTCTCCCGGGCGCCGGGACCATCTTGCAGAAGCGCCTCTTCCTCTGCACGAAGAAGGCGCACCGCCCCGGCAGCGGGCCAGCCCCGGAGCCCGAGCCGCCGCCGGCCGCCTCCCGCTCCGCCATTTCCTTCCCGCCGCCCCCCGCGCGCGCTGCCGGGCGCCATCTCGAAGGCTCCTCCTCTGCGGGAGTCGAGCGCCAAACTCAAAGCGCAAGATGGCGGCGGAGCTCCTGTTCAACCGCGAGGTTTGCGTGCAGGCGCGGGGCCAGGGCTGCGAGGAGAGGTGAGCGGCGGGCCAGGGGTAGCCGGGCGTCGTCTGCTCGCTGCGGGGAGGTTCTCGTGTCCCTTCTGGAGGAGTTCTCTGTTCGCTCCTCGCTCTCTGTCGTGTCCTAGCGATCGTGGGCCGCCGTCCTGCCGCGACGCCGCCGATGGGGCCGATGACGGGAAGGGCTCGTCGGGAGCGGGCCTGGAGGCGTTCCGCGGCGTCGGAGCGGCTCTTACGGACCTCTTAGAGAGAGCGGAGCGGCAGCGGGTTGGGGGCGGCGGAGTAACGGCCTGAGGGGCGGCGGGGACGCGTGGGTTGCGGCCCGAGCCCGGAGCCGTGGGCCTGCCGCCGGGCGGCGTTCAGCTCGTCACCAAGGCGCCCCACGGCCGCCCGCCTTCTGCCGGCGCCGCTCCCGCCGCCTCCGGGAGCGTTTCGGCGCCCGGTGCTGCCCGCAGCGCTCGGACAAGGCCGGGCACGACACCCGACACCCGACACCCCATCGGATCGCTTCTGCGCACCGCGGGCGGTTGTTCGGGTCTCCTCAGGGAGCGGCAGCCCGAGCGCGGCCGGATGCGCGGGTTACTTTGCGTGAAATGTGTTGAAACGTAGAGAATTTCCCTGCCGTGAGACTTAGCCGCGACACGCTGTGCGTGCGGGATCGGAGCGGCTCCGGCCTGAAGCGCTGAGCGGCTGAGGCGCCCGGTAGCGCGGTGAGCCCGGGCCGCTCTGCGGGAGCTGCGCGACGGCGAGGAATCGGGGCTTCAGCGGCCGTGCTGCGCTTCTGCGAGCGGCGGTAAACGTAGGCAGGATTTTGCAGAATTGCCGGTTTTGGAAAAAAGGTTCAAAGCTCAGAAGCTTTCACTGCTGCTTGAAGTTTATGGGTAACGAGCAACAAAGCTGCAAACAAAACCGAAAAGCCCTGAGCTGACTGAGGAGCTGTGCTGGTAACTCCCGGGCAGCTCAGGCAGTCCTCAGTTCTTGACGTTTCTGCCAAAATGGTTCTGTCTGAATGCCTCCCGATTCCTGCAGCCTAGCTGTGTACTCGTCTTTTGAAGGCCGTTTCCTTGGTTTATTAACGAGTTGCACCTTTTTGTACGCAGGAGATTAAATGTTCGAGTGAATATTGAGCTGCTGTCAATTTCTAGCCCTGTTCATAAAAAGGTTTGTGGATTAGTTGTATTTGTGTTTTGCATTGTTTTATCTGTATTGCTTTATATGGTGGGACAGATAGGCAAAGGGAAAGCAGAATAAGATGTTGGTCTGTTTGTCATTTGAGTTCTGTTCTTCAGAAACTTTAAGATTAGAAGCACATGGGGACCTTTGGAGGAGCTTAAGGGCACGTCTGGCCCTGGCTCTTATTTTGGGGTGTAGAGCACCAGCAATCCTTGCAGAGACCTCTCCTTGTCTAATGAGAATGACAACTGCTGTGTGGGCGCAGCATCTTGTTTTGTATCACTGTGTGTGCTGCTGTCCTTGAATGCTTGGAATTAGTCTAGTGGGGCAGGAAAGAAATAATAAGAAATAATAATTAACACAGTCTTAGGAAGTCAGCAATAAGATTACTCTTGAGGATTATAAAATCTGTTTTATGTCTCGTTTGTCACTTCAACTGTATTTTTACCTATTTTTACCTATCAGGATGTTTACGAGCGGTCACTAGTTGATGGTAGAGTTAATGAAGAAAGGTTGGTGTGTGAGTGCAGCAATTTATTGTTATTTGTTAAAGCTTTTGCTAATTGCAGCAGTGGTAATGCTGTGAAGAAACTGTTCAGCTAAGAGCTCTGTGCCATGTCTCAGCTTGTACGAGCAGGAGCCTTGACAGCCTCTTGCACACAGCAAGTCTAAGCAGATAATGCCCTGTGCTCGGATCAGTTCATGGCACGTGAAGCCAAGCAGGGTTTTTATCCTGTCCAAATGGTTGTGTGCCATCAGCAGTTCTAGCTGCTAACTCACATGCAATTGCTGAGTTTGTTTTTAAAGCTCCAAGAGCTCTGTTATTGTTAGCAGTACCTGAATTACTGAAATGTATTTCTGTTCTGTGTGTGAGTGATGGTCACAGTGCAGCTCCGTTGCAGGAGCTGGTCAGTTTCCTGTTTGTTTGACTTTCTGTTGGGGCGTATTAAATTCTTCATGTAGGTTTGAGCACCTGGGAGGTACTGGTTGTACCTGGTGTTTTTTATGGCCCCGGCTTTGGAATGAAAGGCTAATACTGACAGAGAAGGCAGCTCTTCCAAAATGCTGTGTAGATTTCCAGTGAACAGATGAGTTCATTTTTAAAAGCTAAGCAGCATAATGCTGCAATGTTCCCCATAAGTGCGCCAGATTCTAGTCGTACCAATTTTGTTTGCTTTGCTAAGCTCTGTATTCAAATAGATGGGCTGCTCAGAAGGTGTTGTCTCTAATTGCTAGGAGCAGTGTGAGCTAACAAGCTGGCAGTTATGGGAGTGATTGTGTTTGTGATCAACTGCTCGCTCACAAATGGGATCTGTGTACTTGTTAATGATGGGAGGAAAAACTGCAAATAATTTGCAAATAATTTTCTTTATGTAAAATAAGAAGACACGTAGGATTTTGAAATGTTGCTGCTGAAAGTTGAATGATTTTTGCGTTATTTTTGTGAGAAGCAGTTTTCCTGAGTTGTTGCTTTTTCCCCACAGTTTTATTTAAAATGGAGATCATGTTAAATGTTGATGCTTTCTCCTAAATTAGTTGTCACAATTCTTGTCTTACTATTGGTTAAAAAGTAATAGTGAGCAGGCTGTGTGCAACTCTGCTTTACAATATTTGAACAGACGGAGTGGTGCGTGGAGTTTGACATCGTATTTCACTCTCTTTTCAGGATTTGGCTGTGAGACTGACTGATGATGCTGATCCTTTTTTCCTTTATAACCTTGTCATATCTGAGGAAGATTTTCAAAGGCAGGTGAAGTTGTAATGTTTGTGAGTGCTTAGAAATGGTCATAAAGAATGAAATAAAGCTTTCAGCATGTAAAGATTTGTCTTAGAATTTGATTTCTAGCATTTCTCACTTGTGGATTGCTGCCTGTATTTTGGCAGTGCTGCTCTCTCCTGCTTGTGGAACAGCACAGTGCAGGGCAGTGAGCGGCTCAGCGTGGTGCGGATGTGTCAGAGCTGGACACGCAGCTCCCTGCGCGGCTGCGGAGCCGCATCCCGTCTCGCTCCCTGCCTCTTCTGTCTACCCAGCTGCTGCTTAGAGATTGTTATGTTTGTGTGCTCTCTTATTCCAAGGGGAAAGTATGCTTGCATAAACACAGATGTACAGACTTGAGGCCTTGTCTTCTGGATATTTCTTTTTCTTTTTTTTTTTGCATTCTAGTTGGGGCACCACATGCAAACGATTGAGGTCCTTTTTCCTTTGTAAAAATAGCACACCATGTATGCATGTGATCAGTGTGAGGCTCCAAGTAAAAGTTGTTTTTATAGACAGATGAGCAGAATTCATCGTATCATTATTCAGTCATTTCACAAGGTGCGGCTTCTGCACGCACTCTGCAAGTCTTTGAGTTCATTGCATCTGTGGTGAAGGTGCGCAATTAAGCGGGCAAGTGGGCAGGTGGTGTCTGTAGCAGCTGAGCATCCCCTCATCTGGGAAGCATTGTCCTTTGGTGCCCCGTGTGCCCCTGTGCTTAAGGAGGACGTGCAGCTGAAGGAACACTTGTTATAACTTTCCTTTGTGCAGCGCATTTGCAAGAATTCTTGAAGCTAAAAATATCTTGGATAATAATTAGCAGAGGATGGGATTGCACTTCTTCAGTGATCAGGATTGAAAATAACACGTCAGACATTTATGACATGATCAGAATTGGTTCAATCTACTTGTGTAAACAAAATATTCTATTTTTAGGAAAGAAATTAAACATTTGGATTTATTGCTAATATTTTTTCCCCTATCCGTTTATGTAGTTTAAAATCCCAGCAAGGTCTGTTGGTGGATTTCTCCGCTTTCCCACAGAAGTTTATAGATCTGCTTCAACAATGCATTCAAGAACAGAACAAAGATATCCCCAGGTGGGTAATAAGAGTGCCATATTACTCTGTGCACGTGTTTTGAGTTTATCAGATTTGTCAGTGGAACAGGGATACAATCTAACCTTTCCCTGAAGCATCAGTTGGTTGGGTGTTGCTGACAGACCCTGAATGTTAAGAAGTCTCAGCAGTGGTGTTGCTGCCCGATGATCGCCTCCTTAGCAGACTTGGAGCTAGCAGACGTGCAGGGACGCAGCACTGGTGTGCTGGGAAGTGTTGGACAGTAATGGACAGGAGTGCAAACAGATCGTCCTCTTTCGCAGGAGAGCAGAGTAACAAGGCATTCTGACAAGAACTTTCTCTTGCTTTCATTTCAGTGTTCAGATATAAAAGGGAGGGGGCAGACCTGAGGTGCACTCCTGTGTGTCGTGGGCTTTGTGTATGTGGTTTGGCGTGCGGGTGCTGAGGAAGTGCAGTGCAGCACACGTGGCTCAGTAGTTAGGGCAGCTCCTGCAGTGCTGTGCAGTGTGAACTTAACTGGCTGATAGGATACCTGAAAGTGAGGGGCCTGTTTTCCTTTGGGAAAGGCCTGATCTGGTTTTGGAGAGAATCTAAGAGGGGCTTCTGAAAGTTTTCAGAAGTTCAATACTCTTTTTTTCATCTCTTGATAAAATATACAAGCATTCCAGTTGGTAATTATTTATAGGAATTAAATGTCTTAGTCCTTTTCAAAACAAACACAACAGCCTTTTATTGTATGTATAACAATGTATTTTATTTGAAAACAGCTTGTAGTATCTACAGCTTCAGTAACAAAAATGTTACATGTTGGGTTATTTTTGTTTTCCCCCAGGTTTTTGCTGCAGTTAGTTTCTTCAGCATCTGTTCTAGATCACACACCTGTCTCTTTAAATGT